TCAAGCAAGTGCACGATGGCAAAAATCTGAAAGGTCGTGCAAACGATGCAATTGCTTCCGCATGTTTGTACATTGCCTGTCGACAGGAAGGAGTGCCACGTACATTTAAAGAGATTTGTGCAGTCAGCAAGATAAGCAAGAAAGAAATTGGTCGATGTTTTAAGTTGATTCTCAAGGCTCTTGAAACCAGTGTGGATCTTATTACCACTGGTGATTTCATGTCCAGATTCTGTTCCAATCTTGGCCTTCCCAATATGGTACAGAGGGCTGCCACACATATTGCTAGGAAAGCCGTGGAAATTGACATTGTACCTGGAAGATCGCCCATCTCTGTCGCTGCTGCGGCAATTTATATGGCATCACAGGTATGCAAAACTATGGTGACACTACATTCTATAATTAAACAGCACTATTTTATTTTCATGCATTTTTATCTTACATAGGCATCGGAAGACAAGAGATCACAGAAGGAGATTGGAGACACTGCTGGTGTTGCAGATGTCACAATTCGACAATCGTACAAATTGATGTACCCACATGCAAGCCAGCTCTTCCCGGAAGATTTCCGATTTGCCACACCAATCGATCAGTTACCACAAATGTAAAGCCAAGAAAAAGCTTTACTTTCTTCTTCCGAAATATATTTGATCGTTTTAAAGAAATATTTGTTTTCTATCACAAGCATAATCGAACACATATAATTCAATATTTTATTTTTATCAACAGGGTACATTCCTGAATAATTTATACGATTCAATATTCTTTGCTTTACTGCAAGTATATAGTAGTATGTTAACATTTTTCTTTTTCTCTTTTTATTTTATTCAGATTATATTTTTCGAAGACATAATGGTGCTTAGGTGAAATATATTTGACGTTCATATTCTATTATATTTTATAAAAAGTGCATCATGTGATTTATATTTCTTCTACGTAGCGTGCAACTCGACTTTCTGTTATTTTCTTCTGTTTGTAAGTTTATAATTTGTATTACGAGAAGAAGCCCATTCAGTTCTGCACAGTTGTAACTGATAAAACAATTTTTTTTCAATTGTGCACTATTCTATCTTCTAAGAGAACCTTACGTTCTTTGAAATACATGCGTATATATATA